GCAATCCACTCACCTCGGCCTCCCAAAGCGCTGGGATTCCAGGCTGAGCCACCGAGCCTGGCCTGTTCTCTGTTTTTTTTTTTTTTTTTTCTCATCATCTTTACTTTTCCCTTTTATTTAAATGTGTATCTACTCCTGTCTAACCTAACGCAACTCTCCCTTCTTGTGAAAATGTTTGCAATCTGTACTCCCTTCCCCAAAGAGGGGTACACCAAGGCCTCATATCATTGTGGCCATCTCCAAGTTCAAGACCTTTGGGTGATACAGTTCTTCTCAAGTGAAAATGTCTTCAAACATCAGAGGAGGCTTCAAATGCTTGTTATTCAAAACATGGTAGGAGTCTTAGCTGGGTGTGGTGGCTTAGTCCTGTAATTCCAGCACTTTAGGAAGCCGAGGCGAGAGGACTGCCTGAGTCCAGGGGTTCAAGACCAGCCTGGGCAGCTTGGCGATACCTCATCCCTACAATAAATCAAAAAAGTAGACAGGAGCGGTAATGCGCACCTGTAGTTCCGGTTACTTGGAAGGCTGAGGCAGAAGGATCGCCAGAGCCCAGCAAGTCAAGGCTGTGGTGGCCATGAGTGTGTCACTTTCCTCCAGCCTGGGTGACAGAGGGAGACTCTAACTCGAAAAAGAAGAAAAACTAAAAAAATAAAAAAAGGTAGGAGTCCTTAAATGAGATCCAATGACCAACCTAACATCCAAGACCTCATCTGAGTCACTTTGGGAGTTTTCTAAAATGATTGTCCTAAGATTGTAAACTTGGGTGATTTAAGCAGTTGTTCACGGGTGACTCTTATCCTCACTTGTAATTCATTTTTTCTGTTACTGTGCTTTATAGCTGTTAGGGTCATACTCCCAGCAGTGCCTCCAGAATGCTAGGTCAGGCCTGTCGGGGGTGGGTGTCTGGTATGCAATCTGGTGTTGCATGAAAGATGCAAAGAATTGCACAGAAGTTACATTAGAAAACATAGTTTATGCCGGGCTCGGTGACTTAGCCTGTAATCCCACGCCTTTGGGAGGCTGAGGTGAGTAGATTGCCTGAGCCCGCGGGTTCGAGACCCGCCTGGGCAGCGAGACCTCATCTCTACAATAAATCAAAAAATCAGCCGGGCGTGGAAGTGCGCGCCTGTAATTCTGGCTACTTGGAAGGCCGAGGCGGAAGGATCGCCGGAGCCCAGCAGGTCGAGGCTGCGGTGACCGGGAGCGGCCACTGCCCTCCAGGCTGGGCGACAGAGTGAGACTCCAACTCAAAAAAAAAAAGAACTTGGCCACATAGTTTACTGAGCATTGGATTTCACTCTATTGCCCAAGCACGTTTCGGCACGGCTGGCCATCCTTTGCTGAACCTAAATATATGATATTCTCCTGGACCTTTGGGTTTTCATTCTAAAGGCTCCCGTGTCACATAAAACTATGATCGAATACATTTATTATGCTTTTTCCTATTGCTGCTGCTGGCAAGTTCTACTCATCGTTTGCAGGCTGAAATACACAAGCACGGCTGGGCTCGGTGGTTCAGCTTGTAATCCCAGCGCTTTGGGAGGCCAAGGTGAGCAGATTGCCTGAGCCCACGGGTTCGAGACCCTCCTGGGCGACTTGGTGAGACCTCATCTCTACAATAAATAAATTTAAAAATTAGCCAGGCGTGGTAGTGTGTGCCTGTAGTTCCAGCTACTTGGAAGGCTGAGGCAGAAGGATTGCCGGAACCCACCAGGTCGAGGCTTCACTCCAGTCTGGGTGACAGTGAGAATCCAACTCAAAAAAAATAAAAATAGCCGGGCTTGGTGGCTCAGCCTATAATCCCACACCTTGGGAGGCTGAGGTGAGTGGATTGCCTGAGCCTACGGGTTCA